TTTTGTTCCTGCATTATTTTCCTGAATTCTTCCAATTTTTTGTCTGTATTTTCCATGAATTTGTCTATTTTTTCCTCAATTTTGTCTGCTTTTTGCTTCAACTCTTGCAGAATTCTGAGTATTAGAGGTTTGAATTCCCTATCAGGTAGTTCTAGTTTCTTTTCTTCCACTGGAAAGTCATGTGGTGTTTTGCTTTGGATGCCTACTGGAACCATCCTGTCCTGTTTTTGTAAATGTTTTGATATTGTCTGCTGTCTTTGGGGCAATCAGTAGTTATTTTTCTCCTTTATTGATTGTAGATTTGTTTGTTTCATCCTTTTTTTTTTTTTTGGCTATGTCTGAGCAGGTGAGCTGTGTGTTCTTTGTTGTTTGCTCGTCTGTGGCCATGATACTTTTCACCTCCTTCTCCAATTGGCAGGGTCAGTCGCTCAGATATGGTACAGCAGGGCAGGTCGAGCTGAAGAGGAGTTACTGGGATGGGTTTTTGTGGCACTTACTACAGCCACCACGGTGGGTCGGTAATCAGTTGCAGGGCAGGTTGCTGTAGGCCGTGCCTGTGCTGCTTGGTGGTGTGATGTTGAGCGCACGGTGTAGGTAGGCAGGATGTGGGGGGAGATTGTTTGTGTGGAGTTAAGATGGATATGGGAGATGAGAGAGGTACAGGAGCCAAAAACATACAAACAAATAAAAAAGAGTGCTAGGGGAGGTTGCTGTTGGAGTAGAGATGAGAGACTATGAAATGGAGAAAAACAGAAGGGGGAAGAAGAAAAAAAAAGGAAAGAATGAATAAATAAAAATCAGAAAGTAAAAAGTACAGCAAAGCTCCCAGGGACCCCACTGGTGCAGCTATGAGGTCTGGGGATGTTGTTCTTAGGTGTTGCAGTACAGCCTGGCTAGAAGGCATAGAAGTATTCAGTGCCAGGTATTCAGGGAACAGAAAGAGAAGGAAGGTATAGAGAGATGAGAAACTGAGTAATGAAGAAAGACTAAAAGGGAAAAGGAGGGAAAAGAAAGCAAAACAAATTAAAAAAAAAAAAAGAACCAGAAAAGCCCCCAAAAAAACTGAAAAAAGAAAAAAAAAAAAAACCCCGGAAAAAAGAAATGTCCTCAGCGATCCCTCTGTGCGCCTGCGCAAGCCGAGGGGGTAGGTTCCAAGCCGCGCAGCACCGTCCGGCTAGATTGGGCTCCCAACTCAAGAAAAGGAAAAGAAAACAAACAAACAATTCAAAACAAACAAGCAGAAGCCCTGAGATCCCACCAGCATGGCAGCCCAGGCTGGGAAGCAGTTCCACACTTGAATGGAGCTCCGCAGCCCCTTAGGAAGAAGCAAAGATGGCGCACGGAGCCAGGTATTTGAGTGAAAGGAGGGGGAGGTGGTGAGAGGTAAGGAGGAAATCAAAAGAAGGAGAAAAAAGGCAACAACAAATGGCACTCAGAGAGCCAGCCAGTGCGGGCAGGTGGAATCCGAGCGGCCGGTGCTTCCCGGACAAGATACTGTGGCCACGGGAAGCAGAGGAGGCTCAGTGAGGGTGAAGAAGTGTGGGGGGTGGGGAAGCATATATCTCAAATTACCGGAACTCCGCAGCCCCTCCAGAAGAAGCAAAAATGGTGCCCGGAGCCAGGTATTTGAGGAAAAGGAGGGGGAGGCGGTGAGAGGTAAGGAAGAAATCAAAAGAAGCGGAAAACAGGCAACACCAGCAACCAACAAATGGCACTTAGAGAGCCGGCCAGTGTGCACAGGTGGAATCCAAGCAGCCGGTGCTTCCTGGACAAGAGACTGTGGCCGCGGGAAGCAGAGGAGGCTGAGTGGGGGGTGAAGAAAGGTGGGGGGTGGGAAAGCATATATTGCAAATTATCAGTTGTTCTGTCTCCCGCTGGAAGCTCCGTGAAGCTGCTTTCTCTTACCCCCTATTTGCTGGTCTCTGTAGAAGTCCAAGATGGCGGAGCCACGCTGCGTTAGCTGATAGGGGACCTTTGGATGAATCTCTCCTCGCTCTCCATTCTCTGTCAGTTTTCTCACTCCGTTGGTGCTTGAGTGAGTTCTTTATCTCTTCATTTGGTGTTTTAGGGTTTCAGGATTGCTGTTTTGTCTGTTTGGCTTAGTTTTTCGGATCTTTGCTGTGGATAGACGGCGTGGTTCTTCTGCCTAGTGCGCCATTTTGCCGAAAAGTCTCGCTTGATTTTTTTGACTTTGGTGCAGGGGGACTTTGTGGTGCATGTGACTAAGCAACATCTTGGCTCTGCCCCCAGGATTTTTGTTTCGTTTTTGTTGAGGTATAATCCATATGGAAGTCTGTGGTCTCTGGTCTTCATCAGTAAGTGCTTCAAGTCACCTTCACTTTCAGCAACAAAGATTGTGTCATCTGCATATCACAGGTTGTTAATGAGTCTTCCTCCAATCCTGATGGCTCATTCTTCTTCATATAGTCCAGTTTTGTGGATTATTTGCTAAGGAAAGAGATTGACTAAGTATGGTAAAAGGATATAACCCCAATGCACACTTTTTGTGATTTTAAACCACAGAGTATCTCCTTGTTCTGTTCCAATAACTGCCTATTGGTCTATGTACAGGTTTTATGAGCACAATTAAATGTTCTGGAATTTCTGTCGTTCACATTGTATCCATAATTTGTTATGATCCACACAGTTGAATGCCATTGCATAGTCAATAAACACAGGTAAACATCTTTCTGGTATTTCTGCTTTCATCGAAGATCCATATGACATCAGCAATGATACCCCTCATTCTATGTCCCTTAAAGATTACAGCCTAGGAAGCCCTACGGGTCAGTTCTTCTCTGTCCTGTAGGGTCCCTGTGAGCTGAAAGGCAAATAACAAGTGAAGTCCATATAAACACCCTGTGTATGTGTGTGTGTGTGTGTGTTAAGTACATAGGTAGTAGAAGATTTGCTATTTCTATAATCTTCACATGTACAGTTCAGTGACATTAATTATGTTCATGTTGTTCAACTATCACCCTTAACTGTTCACAATTTTTTTCATTACCCTTAACAGAAGCTCAGTGTCCCCTAAGGATTGTGTCTTCCTTTCCTCCTCAATCCCACCCACCCCTGGTAACCAGTAAGAAACTTTGGTCTCCATACACTTGCCTATTCTAGATCTTTCATATAAGTGGGGTCATACAATATTTGTCCTTTTGTGACGCATATTTCACTTAGCAAAATGTTTTCAAGGATCATTTCTTGAAGTGACACTGAGCTGCTGAATAGCTGAGGGAATACGAGGACAAGCCTGGAGAATCAGGGATAAGGATTCGGTTCAGATCTAGCCACGAATGGTACTTTGCTGCAAAGCGGGCAGCTGTAATCACTGAAGCCCCCGGGTGGCTTCCCAAAGTCTTCCCAGGCAGCTCAGCTGGGCATTCTCTGCCTGTTGTGGCAGCAAAGTCAAGCCACTGGGAGGGCCGCTGGGCCCCCTCCCTTGCGCGGGGGCGGTGCCTGCAGCCGCGCCTGCGTTCTCTGCCCCAGAGGCGCCTGGCAGGCATCCCGCCCATGCGCGCCTAGCAGCCTCCGGCAGTAGCTTAGAGGTGCCAGGCCAGATTAAGTGTGTAGTGTAGTCCGCTGTCCTACACCTGGTCTTGGAGTCTGTGGTCCGAGCCACCGCCTTCCCACCTTAGCATGTCGTCCTCCAGCCGCGTGGCGCTGGTGACCGGGGCCAACAAGGGCATCGGCTTCGCCATTGTGCGTGAGCTGTGCCGGCAGTTCTCCGGGGACGTGGTGCTCACGGCGCGGGACGAAGCGCGGGGTCGGGCGGCCGTGCAGCAGCTGCAGGCCGAGGGCCTAAGCCCGCGCTTCCACCAGCTGGACATCGACGACCTGCAGAGCATCCGCGCGCTGCGTGACTTTTTGCGCCGCGAGTACGGGGGGCTCGACGTGCTGGTCAACAACGCAGGCATCGCCTTCAAGAGTAAGGCGCTGGGGGCGGGCGTCCCAGGGGCGCCTGCCTCGGAGTGACCCTGCGGTGGGGCCACTCTCACCTATGGAGTTGGGGGAGGACTCCTTACGGAAGGAGAAGGAGGGACGGGGTTGGGGGGAGAGCAGAGGCTGTTCGGAGTTGGAAGGCTTTCCAGCCTGAGAGTCGCTTAACAATTCCCTGGTGGGACTCTTGGGTGTGCTCCAGGTTTTCTTTACACAGTTCGTCTCTCATTGGGCTTCAGGGCTGTTGCGTGAACTTTAACGTTGTATTTTGAAATAATCAAGAAATTGCAAAAAAAAAAAAAAAAACTACACAAAGTCTTGTGCACCCAGTACCCAACTTCACCTATTGGTACCATCCTATAAACTACAGAACGTCATCAAAACCGGAAAATTGGCATTGACGCGGTGCTGTTAACCAGCACCAGGCTTTTCTGAATTCACCAGATTTCACATTAACTCTTTTTGGGAGGTGAGGGACTAATCGCTCTATGAAACTTTACCACATTGCTACAGTTTTTTAACTCTGTTCTTTTCTCCCCAAAAGATTCGGATCCTACACCCTTTCATATTCAAGCAGAGGTGACACTGAAAACGAACTTTTTTAGCACCCGAGATGTCTGCACGGAGTTGCTGCCTCTGATTAAACCCCAAGGTAAGTCTGTGATGAGGAACACCTCTCCAGTGCCTAGCTTGCTGGAGCTGACCTCTGCTGGCCTCCGACTCACCTCCCCAGCTCCTGCTTGCTCACAGAACCCCAGCTACGCTGGCCCCTCCCTGTGTCTCTACCCTGCCAGGTGTGGATCTGCTTCAGGACTTTGTATTCCTCCAAGGGCCATTGTGGGTGCTCCATCCTGCACATCTTTGCACACCTGGCTGTTTCTTACCCCTGGGGTCTTAGATGCTCCTCAAACGTTCGATTCCCCTAGTATTCACCTGTTGTCCTCTCGCCTTCCTCTCTGTTCCTGCACCGTACCCACTGCTGTGAGTCAATTCCGACTTATAGTAATCTTATTCAGTAGGGGAGCTGGACTCCAATTGGTGACTGGAACACTATTACCAATTCATTAAATAAATTTTTTTTAAAATAATGTTGTGTTTTCAGTGAAGGTTGACATAGCAGTTTAGGTTCCCATTCAACAACTTCTGCACACATTTTTCAGTGACATTGGTTACATTCTTCGCAATGTGTGAACATTCATTATTTATGTTCTGGTTTTTCTGTTTCCATTAATGTAGTTTCCCTGCCCCCTTAACGTCTCATCTTTGTTATAGAATAATTGCTGGCCATTTGATCTCCTATAGATGATTTTTTAAAGGAGCACAGTACACACGGGTGATAATCTTTATTTTGTGAGCCAATCTGTTAAGGTGACTTCAGGGGCAAGTTTCGGTTCAAGGTTTAAAGAATATCTCAGAGCGGTGTTCTCAGGGAGGCTACGCTCTCAACTGATACAGTAAGTCTGGATTTTTTTTAAGAATTTGCGGTTCTGTTCCACATTTTTTTTCCATTGTATCAGGATCCATCTATTATGGCCCTGATCAGAATGGCTGGAAGCAGTAGCTGGGCACCATCTAGTTCTTCTGGTCTCAGGGTAGATGAGGCTGTAGTTCGTGTAGACTGTTAGCCCTGTAGATTAGTTTCTTCTTTGAGTCTTTGGTTTCCTTCTTTTTCTTTTGCTCCAGATGAGTAGAGACCAGTAGTTGTATTTTAGATGACTGCTCGCAAGTTTTTAAGATCCCTAAATAAAAATTTTAAAATAGCAACAACAAGAGGAAAAAAAAAGTTGCTGTTGAGTCGATTCTACCTCATAGCAACCCCATGTGAGTCCGAGTAGAACTTTACTCCATTGGGGTTTCAATGGCTGATTTTTCAGAAGTAGATCACCAAGCTTTTCTTCCGAGGCTTCTCTGGGTAGACCTGAAACTCCAAACTTTCGGTTATCAACTGAGGACATTAACCATTTGCACCTCCCAGGGACTCCATCAGTTCATTAAACCAGTTGCCATCGAGTTGATTCCGAGTCATGAAGACCCCATATGTTTCAGAGCAGAACTGCTCCATGTGGTTTTCATGGCTGTGAACTTTGGGAAGCAGATCGCCAGGCGTTTATTCTGTGGCACTTTTGGTTGAGTTCGAACTGCCAAGCTTTTGGTTAGTAGCCCAGCACTTAAATCGTTTGTGCCATCAATTCATTAGACCCTCCTAAATCTGTCACCTGCCCACAACATTCCCAAAACTTCAGACTCACATATTTGTCCTCCTGCCTTTCCATCTCCTCCTGACTGCCCTCCCTCCCCCTCCCCTGCCCTCCCCTCTACATCTAAAACAGACATTTCCAAAGCGGTAGGTACTCCTCCTGTCTCTTCAACCATCTTGCTCAGCGAACCCATGTCCACCCAGCCAGGACCCTGGATGTCAACATGGTCACCCACCCATGTATAATAATTTACCAGGTCTTAAGAGTTTTCCTACCACTTTCTCCCCAGTTCATTGCCTCCATCCCAGCTCCAGCTCAGGCCCTTCCACTGTCATTTCTGGGCAAGTGCAAGCCCCCCTGAGTGATGGCCCTTCTTGGTCGTCCTCTCCCTGCACTGTCTATACTGTCTGCAGACATGCCCCTTGTGAAAATCCCTGGGGGACAAAGTCCAAGCTGCCTTGCATGGTGTATGGGGGTCTCTGTCATCTCACCCTGCCTAACTCCAGGCTCCTTTTAACTCTCTTTCGGCATGCTCAATGTTCTGGCCATAACGGATTATCTTGTTTTTTCGTTCGTACACTGCTATAATCCTTACCCCAAGGTCCTGGGATGGGAGGGGCACTCCACCCCAGTAAATACACATCAGTTAAGGCAAGCTGCCACCATTAGAAAGGTTAAAACGAGTGGCTTTGAACTGAGTGCATGCATGCACAGTTGCTCTCCAGTCTGCTTTTGCAGGGCGTGTTTGCTCCACTTTCCTGCCCTTCCCCCTTCTCCGTGTCTCGTCCCCCTAGAAGGCTCCTTCTCCTAAGACTGGCCCAGTGGGGCCTCAAAGTGTGGCTCTTTCACATGTCACCTGACTCTTCATCACGCCAGCACTTGAAGGCAGGTCTAGAGCTGTGTATTAGTGTCCTGGGCGGCCATGACAAAGCCCCATAACTTGGTGACTTCTAAGAACAGAAACTTAATCTCTCACACTTCTGAAGGCTAAGAGTCTGAGTTCAGGGTGTCGGCAGAGCCGTGACCTCTCCAAAGCCTCCAGGGGAGGATCCTTATTCTTGCCGCTTTCTGGTAGCCCAGGTTCCTTGGCTTGTGGCTGCAGCATGACTCCATTGTTTGGCTGTTTTCCCTCCATCCGTCTCTGTGTCTCTTCCCTGTTTCATAAGGACACCCCGCTCCCTGGATTGGGACCCGCCCTGCTCCACTACGACCTCGTGTTAGCTCAGCTGATAACATCTTCAAAGACCCTATTTCCAAGCAAAGCATGTTCACAGATCCCAGGGGTTAGGACTTCAACATAAATATTTGAGAGGACACGATTCAATACATAACTAGCTCCTTGTGCAACCACTGCAGCTACTGCACACATTCGTCTTAGAACTCATGTGTCCACCTGGTCCGTTGTGCTCGCTGTGCCGGGCTTGGTTGGTGCTCACTGTGCCGGGCTTGGTTGGTGCTCGCTGTGCCGGGCTTGGTTGGTGCTCGCTGTGCCGGGCTTGGTTGGTGCTCGCTGTGCTGGGGCTGGGTCCCAGTGTGAGGAGTGAGGGCATTCATGGATTTGTAAGGCAGGCTCTATTCTAACAATTTCTCTTGCCTGAGGAAAGCTAGAATTTAATGGACACGTAAGTATATGCTATGTTCTTCTCACTGTGAGAGCAAAGTTTTCTTTCCTTTTGAAAAGGTAGCCACAGCGGTTCCTGTTGCTGTGACTTTATTCTAGCCCTCTTTGGGAGAAAACTGAGAAGTCCCAGGCAGGGTAACCAGAAGGAAATACTGTGCTTCCTTCCCTGTCGTGGTCTCCTAGTACTCCTGTAACACAGACCCACAAGTAGGTGGCTTTAAAGAACACAAAGTTACTTTCTCACAGTTGAAGAGACTAGAGGTTCAAATTCAGGGCAGCAGCTCTAGAGGAAGGCTGTCTCAGCTCTGGGGGAAGATCCTTGTCTCTTCTAGCATTCCTCTGCATTCCTTGCCAAGGTCTTCCCCGTTTGTGCTCGCTTGTCCTTGTGCCTTTGCTGCTCCTTAGAGCTCAGCAGTGATTGATGTAAGCCACACCCTGCACAACAAAGAAAGCCTACTTCCCAAATGGAATTGCATCCACAGATATAGGGCTTAGGATCCCAGCACATATTTAGAGGGGGCACAATACAACCCATAACACTCCCAATATCTCAGAACCTGGTGCACAAAGAACAACCACATGACCTCTGTGGGTGGCAGAAAAGGGCCAAAAGGAGTGTTCAGTGTACTGTTTGGCGTGGAGGAGGAGGAAAGGAAGAGGTGTTGTGACCTTAAGGACGGAGAGAAAACTGTTTACAGAGAGTTGTGGATTTCTCTTTGTTTTCTCAATCCTTTAAAAACAAAGTTATTAAAAAATACTCTAGCACACAAAAAGATAAGAATACTACTACTACAACCCCACGTACTCACCACCCAGCTTAAAAAACCAGACAACGTCAATGCCGCTTAAGCCCCTTAACCCCGTCCTACTTGTCTCCTTCACATTCCTCCACACCATCATGCTGAACTTGGAAGAATGCTTTATTTAATGCTGGTAGCCTGTGGTGTTTTTTTGTTTGTTTTGTTTTTCTTTTTAAGTAATATTTTATATATATTTTGAAAAGTAGGTGTTAAAAAACCCTGATTTAAGGAGATACCGGTTTTCGAGTTTCTGAAATCTGAAAATCGCTAGAGGATGGTTAAGAAACATGGTAGTAAAGGAGTCTGCTTAGTTTCCTAGTGCTGCTGTAACACAGGAGCCCTGATGGCACAGTGGTTTAGCACTTGGCTGCTGACCATCAGCGGTTCAAACCCAGCAGCCGCTCCGTGGGAGAAAGATGTGGCAGTCTGATTCCATAAAGATTACAGCCTTGGAAACCCTTCGGGGCAATTCTGCTCTGTCCTACAGGGTCACTATGAGTGGGAATAGACTGGACAACAACTTTTGTTTTGGTTCTTTTTTGCTGTAACGCAAACACCACAAGTGGGTGGCATTAAGGAACAGAAATTTATTTCCTCACAGTCCTGGACTTAAAAGTTCAAATCCGGTTCTCAGCCGTGTCAGTGGTTTCTGTGGGCCTCTCCAAATTTCCAGTGTCTTGTGACAGTCCTTGTCATCCTTTGCTTGTGGAATGGGCCCTTACATGGCATCTGTCTCCCCTGTGAGTGTCTCCATGTCTGTTCTGCTCTTTCCATAACTCAGAAGGGGTCGGGTTTAGGACCCACCCTATACTGATGTGACCTCATTAACATCAGAAAAGAAAAACCATGTTTCAAAACAAGATCAAATCCACAGATACAGAGGACAGGACTTCAATACCTATTTTTGGGGAACACAGTTCAATCCATAACATCTACTTCTAACACTTCGTGAGTCTATAAAGAATGGATGAACACACATTGCTTGATGCTGTGTGCCAGGCATTTTGTATATATTTTCCCATTTTACTGAGGAGAGCATTGTGGCATGAAATATCTCAAGGTCACATGCACATCCAGGATCTAGACGTAGGTCCTGTGACTT